TGACCACATTGTCACTTAGAGTCAGGAGTACTCAAAAACTTATGTACATTCTCAAATCGAAGAGCGAAGAAAAAACAACTGCGAACTAGCAATAATGTACAGCAGAGGAATCTGTTTTTCTTCTTTTCATTTCCAGAAAAAAAAATCTATGAATTTTTCCTGAAGTTGTCTGCACATTTTCTTGAAGAAAGTTGTATATCAAATGTTGAGTAAGAAATAGCTGCCATTTTTTTTTCAAGTTTGATATTGCAAGAACACAGTACCAAGCTAATGAGGATAAATGGTCTTAAATATACACCTGAGCACAAAGGATAAATGGTACCAAGCTAATGAGAAGCTCTCTTGTAACTTCAATCTGAGCACAAAGTGAAGTGTGGACCTGAAAATTGACAAAAAATGAAACCATTTGAGCAATTGTTTGCAAAAATTGTAAACAGAGTAAGAGGAGAAATCGAATTGACAAGATAAACCACACTGATATAAAAAAAAAAAAGTAAAATATTCAGTGTATAAATCTTATAAGAAAATAAGAATTGTAACAAACCATACTGATAAATTAAGCCAAGATTAAACAAGCATGAGATTATTCTCTTAAACAAAAAAAAAACAGATGATTATAAAAATAGTTTAAGTGGTGATCTTACACAAAATAGCTAATGGTATCGGCCCAATACTTAGCCTATTCGGCCCAGACATATTTCAGAAAATTGACAGAAAAAAAATGTAGCGCCGTTGCCGGGGATCGAACCCGGGTCACCCGCGTGACAGGCGGGAATACTTACCACTATACTACAACGACCTTTATGCTTAAATAATCCTTCATTTATATATATTAATATCTTCTGTTTTTTTTGGTTAAACTGAAGGCATTTTATAGGCCAGTTTTTTGTTCCTTGGCCTCAATTATTATATTACTCATTACCATAATAAGTCAAGGTCTTCTTCAGAAAGAACAAAAAAAACCCATGTGCGTGCAACAATCATGTTTACCATTATCAAATAACAATTATTTTCCCTTCAGTCAATAGCAATTTAGGCTTGGTTTTGTTTTTTTTGGTGTTTCATTTATAGATTTAAGTTTCCATAAGGAAAATTGGTAAAAATAACAAAAAAAAAATTATAATCTAAATCTAATAAAAAATCCCACATTAAATAGTCATGATTTTGCCATATATCCCA